CATGCTTATGTCAGTAAATCAGTTTTTGTCCTCCCTAGTTTTACTAACATATTGTTTATACCCAAAAACTGATTTTCCCACATCACCTCCACCTCCTCGTTTCTACTTTATTGCTCATTGTCCATTTTATCAGCTCCACTTACTATATAGGTGCACTTTGTAGTTCTACAATTACAGACTGTAGTCCTTCTGCATACTTTGTTAGCCCCCTTTTACCCTGTTCCTCAGTGGTCAGGACCCACATGGACCCTCACAGAGCAGGTACTATTTGGGTGGTGGATCATTCTCAGCACTGCAGTAGCACTGATGTGGTGGTGGTGTGCTAGTGTGTGTTGCGCTGGTCTGAGTGGATCAGACACAGCAGTGCTGCTTGAGTTTTTAACCACTGTGTCCACTCATTGTCCACTCTATTAGACACTCCTACCTTGTCAGTCCACCTTGTAGATGTAAAGTCAGAGACGATAGCTCATCTGCTGCTGCACAGTTTGTGTTGGTCATCCTCTAGTCCTTCATCAGTGGTCACAGGACGCTGCCCTCAGGACGCTGTTGGCTGGATATTTTTGGTTGGTGGACTATTCTCAGTCCAGCAGTGACACTGAGGTGTTTACAAACTCCAGCAGCACTGCTGTGTCTGATCCGCTCGTACGAGCACAACATGTACAAATACACCACCACCACATCAGTGTTACTGCAGTGCTGAGAATGATCCACCACCCAAATAGTACCTGCTCTGTGAGGGTCCTTGGGGTTCCTGACCACTGAAGAACAGGGTAAAAGGGGGCTAACAAAGTATGCAGAGAAACAGATGGACTACAGTCTGTAATTGTAGAACTACAAAGTGCACCTATATAGTCAGTGTTCTTTAAGTACTGACAGTTTCCACAATACACTCAGAAAAGCATATCATGGCTTAGTGTATGAAGATAACAATAAAATATTGTCATATTGCCCATTCCTAGTTATTGTGATTTTGCTATATGTAATTAATTACATAGTGAGTAACATAATGAATAACAGTAACATTTGATTTACATGCTGTATTGTCAGGTTCAGGCTTACACTACTGATGTTTTTCTGTTTGTTTCAATGTCAAAAAACGTCAAGAAACACACACGACACACAATAACCTTTCATCAGTTTCAAATGTTAACAAAATATCTTCTCTTCTACTTACAAACACAAATGTTTAACAGAAACGAATGAGACATAAATGATAACTGATCTGACATATATTACATCTTCTGTAGATGCCTTCCTGTAACCCGTGACTGAGGCTGAGGTTAAAGCCACAGGAACTGATGAAAAAAGTATGACCCGTCTCCTAATATGGTCATGCCAGTGTTTTCATTCAGCTCCCTCCTGCACTCTACTGAGCATGCTCAGAGCCGATTGTATAGCTGCAGTGTTGTTTGTGGAAGCTGTTCCAAACAGCAGTGCGTGTATCATCTCCACTCAGTTTTCTAGAACAGCATCCACAGCTCTTCACCGGGCCGCACAAAAGAGGGCATTGTGGGAGCGTGAAAACAATGATTGATGTGGATGGAACATCATTCTAGAGAAACTGATGGGTTTCTGGTTTCGGTTTATTTGTCCACTGGATTTCAGGAGCTGAATGAGTTTTGCTGATGATGAGGGACAAAAAAAAAAAAACACTGACTATTACATTAACTGAAATGGTTTGAACCTGTGAGGGTTTGTGTGAAGGTTATGTGAAGCTCTGTGAAGACTGCATGCTAACTCTGGTATTAGTCTGTGTTTATACACGTGTGTTTGGTTATGGTAAACTCTCTGACAGGTGTTTGCTTATATCTTGTGTATGGGGTGTGTGGGGGGTGTTAGAGGTCTGCATGGGTCAGAAATCAAAGGTTTACATGTGCTCACGACTTTGAGAGGCGGCCAACCAGGCCTAACTGGTACTGCTAAATTTGAAACAGAGTTGAGTTATTGAGGCTGATTTACAAAGCTTTGCATTGTTACTAAGCACTTGAGTTAATGAACAGAAAATGTAATGCTGGAAAAGACTGGTGAGTTGCTCATCTGTAATACACTAACCCTGTTTATTATCTACAGTGGCCACAAGGCCTCATAAAGATGCAGCAAACCTGGAAACACTTTTACCAAAATGACTTCCCATCATTTGTCCTAAGTTAAGATCTGATGAGATTAATATATGATTTTTCACAAACCCGCATTACAGAAGCAAATCTTATCTTAATTCAGGAATTTTATTTTATCTTACAGCATCTTTTCTTCAGTTAGGAAATCTTAACCTTCTCAGTCAAGGTCAACAAACAAATGTCATATCTGTTAGCTAGCAATTGACAATATGCACACAGCTGAAACATAAACACATAATCAAAATTAGTGTTAAAAATGTAAGTTAGTTAGCTAGACAGCCACTGTCACTGGTCTAAAGAAGGTCAAAACAAAACTAAAATGCAATAAACCGGAAGTTAGGAATCTTGTGACAGCACCCCCTGCTGTTTATAAGAGCGTCACCACTCTCCAGTCTTAGTTTCCATTTCCCAAACACTTTAGCTGAGCGCGCTAACATTATTCCCTCTCTTAAACAGAAACACAGCTCTGCTCCTCATCATACACTGTAATATTTTATTGGTTGAGCTTTTATGAATATTATCACACAAGGGTAATAAGAGACAGGCTGTGTGTGAACACAATCAAAAAAATTCCTGTTGTTAATTGGAGCACACATTGATGTATAACCTGAAATTCAGCATTCAAGACAGCTGTCTTACTAAATACAGCAAGATAAAGAGAATGTGAGCATTAAAGGAGTAGTTTGGTGAAGAATGAACTGTACACCATTTCCCTCAAATGTAGTCGATCAGCCAAGACGTGTTTGCTGTCGGACGTCTGCTGCTTTGCACTGTATTTACAATAAATGATCATGTTTCAGTACTGTAAATCCAAAAAGGTGTTGTTTTGGAGGCGGAAATATTAGTTAAAAACTTTACATTAACAAGAATATAGCTGTTGGGGTAACTATGGTTGTCCCCCCGCTGATCTGGTCTCCCCTCATGTCATCCAGTCTAGCTTTGCCATAGTAGTGATAGCCTTTCGGTGTAATGGCAGCTAACTTAACAGCATATTTTATTTATAACCTCATCTCATGAAGTGACATTAGAACAACTTCAGACAACTTGGCCCACAGGCTCTGTATTTTTAGTGGCCCAGTGTGAAATGTTATAGGCCCGAGGCACTGGGCAATTGGCAGCATCTGCCCGTGCTAATGTAGCTAAAATATCATTCTAATTATGTCCTATGTTCTGATAGGTTAGCCAATGTTGAGCCTCATTCAACAAGCTGACTCCTCATAAGCAGCTCACTCCTCATTATACCTGTGTGATTGGTTGGGGCTAAAGTGCTGTAGGCTGAATAAGTGGATGTATGTAAACGATTGCTTTTCTGTGACATCACAGAAATAATGAATTCAAAACGGGCAGTTTTTGCGACTTAGTTTACATTTATGGACTTTACAGACTGTGAAGTGAATGCCCTTTGAAAATTTAGCAGTGTTTATATGCCACATCAAAAACTTCAAAAAATGAGGGTAAAGTTTAGTTTTCCAGGATATTGGCCCTTTAAATAAGCCAAGATAATTTACCTTCACAAATTGGAGCTGCTGGCTCATGGACAGAAGTCATGTAATGACTTCCGCATGTCATTATACCTGAAATGAGACACTGCAAACGCCAGTTCTTCTCATTCTTCTCCTGAACTCCACACTCCCCAACAGCGTGGTATTAATGAGGCGCCATCCATTCTTCAGCCTCCCAATGTTCCTCACATAGTTTCGAAGAACTCTCCGTCGCTCTGGGCAACCAAACCTGCCAATTAACGTTTAATGGGTGTGAATTAGCACGTCCTAGTAGTGTGAAGCTCTCCGGCTCCGCCCATTCCATCCGGCAGGAATGTTGTGCTTAAACCTGTAGAGCTGGTTTTCTCACGCTGGGATGTGATACTCAGCTCTTCAGGACACAGTTTAAAAATGCTGATACACTCCTACCAGCACCACACACACTACCACATCAGTGTTAGTGTGTGTGGTGCTGGTAAGAGTGTATTCTTGCTGTGCTGAGAATGGACCACCTCCCAAATAATATCTGGGTGGTCCTGTGGAGTAAAGACAGGTGGTCCTGTGGAGTAAAGAGCAAGTCCATGCACAGACATTTCAGAGGGGAAGGGGCTAAAGGGGAAAAAAGCCCAACATGAACATGAACTAATTTAATTCAATTTATTGTGTATTGCACTCAGTCTGATTAGGAGAGACAATGTGATCATGCTTAAGACAAAAAAGCAGACAAAAGAATTAACATTACTATCTATACAGAGATTTGAACCGCTGTGACTAGCATGCAAAGTCATGATGCTGCTTATTACACCATTTAAACATTAACTGAAGTACAAGTCAATATTCTTTAAACTTAAAATTGCTAACATTATATTTGTTGTTCAAAAAGAATCATATTATGGAATGTAACACTTTCTTAGAGAGATTATCAGCATTTTATTGGCGGGATTTCCAGCAATATGGAAATGAGTGGCAGGTCGGAGTTACTGAGGAGAACCACAGGCAGTCAGTACTGCAGCAGAGGAGGCGCCCAAGAGAGATGTTGACTCAAGTCAACTCCACCGGATGAATCTGAAAATTGAAAGAGAATTCAAAGAGAACTCCGAGATTTATCATCATATCTTCATCAGTAGTGTTGATTTTGCATTTTTGACTTAGAGATCGAATTAGACCTTCTTTTTGAGGCTGTGAGTGTTACATCAATATGTAAAGACATACAGCATGGTCTTGACAAAATCCTGACCCAATACCTCTGACTTTCAATGATTATTTCAGGCTTTAAGGGTGTCTGGCATCAGCACGTGGTCACCATATTATAGCCTGTTTTTCCCCACAACAGTTTACATATTCCAGCATGACATGCCTTAAAATTACACTCTCTTGGTCTCTCTCTCTCTGTCTCTCTCAGGTGGTGTGTGTGCAGAGGTGAGGAGTCCGTGCAAAATCCTTCTGCTGTTGAACCCTCACAGTGGAAAAGGCCAGGCTCACTCACTCTTCACCGCTCATGTACAGCACATGCTTCAGGAGGCCAGTATACCGTACACTCTCATCATTACAGGTGAGAGGATATCAAAGCTGTTTTCACCCCTGAAGTCGTTTGCAAACGTTTGAACACCTCCAGTCAAATGACACATTTTGCTGATTTTCTGGGCAAAATAAGTTAACACTCCTCTACAGAGAAAACACCTATATGTGGCATTGTTGTGCTAGTTTTAGTGCCTAATTACCGTTCATTTGTAGAGTTTAAAAATGTGATCATAAAATATTAAATGTGCCATAACTTTTGCACAGGCCACATTTGATGTTAAATTCAGCAAATAAACAGGAATCATGCATTAAAATGTGCAGTGTGTCCTCTGTAGAGGTTGTGTTAACATTATTTTTCACTTAGAAAATCAACAGAATATGGCATTTTTGCATACGCCTGTATGAACAGCTCATTTTCAGGTTTGAAAGGGGAAAAGCGTCAGATCACAGTCAGGCGGTTTCTCTCTAGAAGCTTTTACTGCACATTTTGAAGTTTTTGCCTCAAGAGCCGTGTTCTGAGTGTGAGTAACTTTTTATGGGTTCAGAGAAGCTTTACATAATATAAAGCAACCAATTCAGAGGTTCTGTGGAGGTTGTCTAAACTTAGAAAGCTTCTTCACGTTCACATCTCTTGTACAGAAGTGGTTTTCTGCACTCTAAGAACACATTCTGTCTCTAACTAGGGCAGGGGTCAGCACCCCAAATGTTAAGAAGAGCCATTTTGTCCTTTCAACAAAAATTAAACCACCTTGGGAGCCACAACATTTTATGTCCATTTATTGAAGTAGCACTTTGCCATCTTGGCTGAAAATATGTCTCAGTATGTGCTAATGTTCTAGCATAGACTAAAATATATAATATAAACAAAAATGCAGAATTATTTTACTCTGCTTTAAGCTTTAGTTCAGCTATAGTCACTTTTCTCGCATCTCCGGCAGGAAACTTTTCCTCAAAAGTGGAATAGTTTCTTGTAAAATGTCTCTCAACGTTCAACGTTTTACGAGGCCGAAGTCAGCATCTCATTTACCAGTTTCTTGTTCAAATTTTCCTGTTCCACCTTAAATGCTGCCTGAGACGCCAGAATGTAACTGCTGCACTATTTAAGGTGGAACAGGAGAATTTGAATGAGAAACTGACTTCATGCAATTAATTCCATTCGTCTCCAAATTATTGATGTTCATCTAAAATATTTCCATTGCCATTTATTTAGCTACTAGCTAGGCAAGATGTTGTTTGCGTTGACCAGCAGTTTGTGCATCAACTTTCAGGGTTAAAGGGTGAAATAGCAGTTCTACATTAACTCCAGCGTTTAAGACCATTTATTGTTAAAACAGTGTTAGAACGATCAGTAGAGCTTTATTTTACTGCGAAGGAGGATTGTTTTATAGCATGTTGCGACTCCTGAACTAGACACATCAGGGTGTTCAGCTGGAGGTGACACAGTTTGTGTTACTTTTAACACAATGTGTTAAATCAGAAAACAATATGACACAAAAAGTGTAATTTAACACATCACTTGGATGTGGAGTATAAGGAAACATCTTTTGAAAGCTACCTTGAGGAACTAAATGTGGTTCTTCTATGACGCAATAACAAAAACAGCATGTTTAATTAAAGTGATAAAGAAAGGCTGGTAAATGGTCATGTTTTTGGTGCATAAATCCACAAAAAGTTATAAGCAGAGCTCAGTGGAAAATATAAAATGGACGAATAATATATCATATGGGCTTTTTAAGAATGTATAAGTAATGCTGGTGGCTAGCTGAGGCATACAGTGGAAGAATAATAGACAGAGAGATGAAGGTGGGTTCAGGATCTCCTCCATTAATCTCCATTCTGAATGGTCTGTCCAGGTAAATAAGTCCCTCTCTGGCTCACTGCCTGCTGCACATACTCGTTTGTCATTTAGGTTCAGATGCTCTGACTCAGAGCTTTGGCGATAACACAGAGAACACTGGCACACAGACACTGCTCTCTTTCTTTCTTGTTCTTCTGAATGTCTGAGACTTTGTGACACATTCACTGCCAAACCAGGTTATAATCCATCCAGTCAGCCAGCATATTATCACATAGTGTCGGAACCAAAAAGGGTAAGTTGAACCTTAAAGTGAAATTCCTCAAATGCCCACATAATTAAATGGTTAAAATGTAAACAGTCATTCATAGAGGTGCTGATAGGAACCAGAAGATTTTTTAATCTATCCATATGCAAGGCGTTGTAAGACAAAATAGTCTCCAGAAAATGTATTTTTACACATTTACTACTATTTTACCATCATCAGTGATGCATATAAAACCCCACAAAACACATGTGGGTGGTCAAATTTACCCTCTCAGTAAATCTGCAGTGATCATGTGGCTATTATTGCTCTCACAGTAAACAGAAACAGAGCCTGATGAACACATCCATTTATATAAATCTTTTGCCATATAATGTTTCGGTATGTATTATTGTAAGTTTTTCAAAAGCCTTTTTCTTTTATGTCACTTTAAACTTAATGCATGTTTTTTTTAATAATCAATCAAATTTACTTGATTACTCATCAATTTACTTAATTGCTAATATAATTGATATAATTTATACCTAAATTCTTTTGTAAATTACACATGTAGACCCCCAGTCCACCTTCTTTACAACCGCAGGACGCAGCAGAAGATCAGATATAATTTTAGTGGTTTAATGTTTATCCCAGACGGTGATGATATAGTTCCTGGTTCATTTTTCTTGAGGCTCATTCAACCAAACTCAGAAACTCTGCAGGCCAGGTCAGCTCCTTCCAAGCCAACTCAAACTCTGATGTAATACTGTGACATTTTTGTTCAGTGAAGGTGTTTTTTCACCTGACTGTGGACGAGCAGAACTTTCCTCACCTTTCAGGGGTTTCAGCTTCTGACTGAAACACACAGTGGAAAATAATTAAAAAACACTGCATTTAGCCCTAAAGCCACTTTAGTTTCCCACCTTTAATAATAATAATGATGATGAAAAAATCAGGTTATGCTAAATCATGTTAACTTAAATGTCCAGATTTATTACATCCTATGGCTTACTATAAAGTACCTACGCTGATGGGCCACTTCATTCAAGTCCACCTCCTTGTTTCTACACTCACTGTCTATTTGGTGGCATGTTAGTGTGTGTTGAGCTGGTGTGAGTGGATCTGACACAGCAGCGCTGCTGGAGTTTTTAAACACCCCAGTGTCACTGCTGGACTAAAAATAGTCCACCAACCAAAAACATCCAGCCAGCAGCATCCTGTGACCACTGATGAAGGACTAGAGGATGACCAACACAAACTGCAGCAGCAGATGAGCTTTACATCAACAAGGTGGACCAACAAAGTAGGAGAGTCTAATAGTGGACAGTGAGTGGACACAGTGTTTAAAACCTCCAGCAGCACTGCTGTGTCTGATCCACTCGTACCAGTGCAACACACTAATACACGAACACCATGTCAGTGTCACTGCGGTGCTGAGAATGATCCACCACCCAAATAATACCTGCTCTGTGGGGGTCCTGCAGGGGTCCTGACCATTGAAGAACAGGGTAACAAAGTATGCAGAGAAACAGATAGACAACAGTCTGTAAGTGGCCAGTCAGTATATATGGACTACAGTGCAGACTGGCTAAATATTCAAAGTTATTGAGGCGTGTAATAGAAGTTTGTACCCACCTTTAACTCCTGGCCATTGAAACCCTTTTCGTACAGTTTCATGTGCAAGTCAACATTTTTAAAAGTGTTTTTATTGTGTTTAAATGCTGTTTTATATTGTGTCCGTTGTAAAAATATGAACAGAATACAGAGGGTAAAACAGTGAATAAAAAGACAGTAAAACCTAACTGAGAAGTCTAGCTTCACTTGAGGAAGGGTATTGACCTCGTCTGTGCCCAGTACTCATCACGTCTCCTGTAGGGAAGCACTCAGTCTTACAGGCTTAGAGAAATCCTGCAGGACAATCCAAATACACATTAGCACTGACTGTGTTTTTCAGAGGATCTGGGAAGTTTCACAGCACACATATATTCACTGAATGACAGAGAGAGTATAGCAAAAGTTTTATGGTTTAGTTAGGCATAGTTATAGCATAGTTTAGCATGGTTCTGATAGGCATAGCATAGTTATAGGATTGTTTAGCATGGTTCTGATAGGCATAGCATAGTTATAGGATTGTTTAGCATGGTTCTGATAGGCATAGCATAGTTATAGCATAGTTTTGCATGGTTTTGATTAGCATAGCATAGTTATAGTATAGTTAAGCAGGGTCCTGATGCTAGCCTTCTTGAGTTCTGTGAAGGTGTCTGTATTTTTATTAAGGAGTGGCATCTGATGGGTAGTTTGAGAAAGTGGTCATCTTGAAAGTTGTACTTTCTTGGTTATTTCTGAAGTATTGGTCTCTAAAGTCCTGCCATCATTTTGTAGTCATTGTCAGTGCCATATTAGGAACTCAGGTCTAAGCTGGTTTTTACTGTGGAAAAATTGAATGGCATTTTCTAAAATCACAGCTATCTTGCTCTGTGGTTAACAACAATGTTCCAAACCTGATGTAATTATACTGAGGTTGTTAAAGAATTAAAACATGAATATGCTACATGCAAGCTAACACTCCTGCACATTGAATTGACGTCATAAGACTGGCAGCCTCACCAAACGAGCAAGCTTTGTCAAATGTGCTGGTGCTAGTTTTGAACTACAGTTTGAATAGTTGGTGTTGGTATATAAAAGTGCTGTGGTTTAGTGGTACATACTTTCAGACATCACCATTTCAGTGTTCACTGTTTTAGCCTGCTTGTAGCATTAATTTGTTGGGGGTGTAAGAAAATATATCGATACGCTTGAGTATCGCAACATTACATTTTGTGGTACTGTATCGATTCTTTAAAACACAGTATTGAGATTTAATGAATAGGTTACACGCAAAGATTCGTAGCAGACAGTGATTCATTTTGTGTAAACACCCAACCACTAGATAGCACTGCTGTAATCTATCTTCAACTTTCAGACTTTTTCTTTTACTCAGATAATATGCATATGGTGGTATGTTTTTTATACTATGATAGATTTCCTAAAATTAGATTTAAAAAAAAAACTTCACAATATATCACCTTGCTTATCACAAAATATCACAATATATTGAATCATAACCCCTGTATCACTATACGTATCGTATCGCTAGGTTCTTGCCAATACACAGCCCTATTATTTGTATTTCCACTTTTCAACTAACTCATAATCTGGAAGATCCAGTAACATTTGGGAGAAAAATGTACAAAGGACAAAAAGTATCAGCTTTGGATTATTTTTGTTTACCATGGGACCTGATAGTTGTTCATGTCTACCATAGAGAAAAACTGCTTAGATCAGGAGTTCCTCATGTGTCGAGTACAGAATTACACATGACTTCAGAGGTCTACTAATGACATCAGACTTATGAATAAATAAGTCAGTAAACCTGTCAAACAGATTTGCATGTTTAACAGAATCAAACATTTTGTAGCATCTATGCAGCGTTTACATGTGTTTTATTGTCTGAAAACCTCCAGTGAGAATCAAATAATAATCTTTCACAATAGAAAGTGCTCATATCCAGCATTTTACTTTATTATACTAATTATGACTAATTATTATACTAATTACTTTATTATATAATTATATAATTATGACTTTATTATACTAATTATGTGTGGTTTTATGCACCAAAAAGAGCCCAAAATAGTTTTAACTTGACCATTTTCCAACCTCTCTTTATCTCTTGGAATTAAACAGGCTATTTTTGTTACTGTGCCTTTAAGACTGATATATGTAAGGGAGCTCTGTTCTAATTGGCTGTCCTGTATTGTACCTTATTCATAAAGCAGTCCAGGCTGAAACACTCCTTATAACTTCAGCGTGAGTGGGTGGGGCTAAACTGCTGTAGGCTGAAATAGGTGCATATACTGTATGTAAATGCGTTGTTTTCATGACGTTGTGAAGGCACTGAACTCTAAATGGGCTGTTTTGCAGCTTTACAGACTATAGGGCCTCAGGAGTGAACAATATGTTTTATAACTTGTAAATAATGTTTATATACTATCACACTTGAAGTATGGGGAATTTTGGTTTTCCATGAAATGGGAATGAAATAAAATAAAGTTGAACTTGACATGAAAATTCGATTTGATGAAGCAGACAGTTTTGAAAGAATCTGTTCATAAAACCAAATCAAATCTTCCAACTTCTCGATGTAATGTGATGATGTACAGTTGTGTGCAAAAGTTTGGGTGCCCCTGGGGTCAATGTATTATTTGTAGAATTTAGCACATTGGAAAAAATATAAAGTTATGTTATGTTTTTTTGTTTTTTTTTCTCCTCAATATGTTAAAATCAGCAAATAAATAGAAACTGTGCAGTAAAATGTACTGAAAAATGCCATATTTAAGTTCCCTGTACAAAAAGTGTTAACTTATTTTCATTTAGAAGATTGACAAAATGTGTAATTTGAAACTTCTGCGAACGACTCATTTGCATTTGGGAAGCCAATAAAAGTAATTGGACTGGAACAATTCTCCTGTTTCGAATGCGAAGTGCTGGTGCTCAGTAGTGGGTCCAGGTGATGCTATCAGGTAGAACCTGACACTACAGTGAACATGATAGCCAGATGGGTAACTTTTCAAAGATAGTTCCTTACTGTATGCCCTGTGTTCAATAGCCAGTGCTGTTCTCCTTCCTTTTTCCTTTAACCCATGCCAGGGGCTCTTCTAGTCTTTCCCATTGCCTGGTGTGCAACAGAGGCCCTCTGCATAAGGAAATGTGATGTGACTGGACTGATAAAGGCTGTATCGATTCCCTGCCTGCCTTCACACAGACGAGGCTAAGGAAATACAGGAGGAATCTGATGCCTCCCCTGAGGGGCTAGCTGTGTGGAGCTAGTGGAGGAAAACACGGTCACTCTTGCCGGCAAACTGTACTCTCTCCGACATAACGAGCCGAAATAGATCAAGGCTTGGCACACGATGCTCCGGGAGGGATGTTTCACTACAAGGGACAAATGAGGGGCATTTGTGAGATAAAAGAGAAAGCCTGGCTTGGGAAATGGAGATGCTAGCTTGCACATGCATACACTGCTGGCTAATTACTTATTGAAATGCAATAGAAATACCTTTTCATTATTATATATATTATTTGTTTGAATTCAATCAGTCAGTCAAATGCCCCACTAATTGTTAAGCAGTGAAGTGTTAGCATTTAGGACAAAGTTAGCATTTTGGGACAAAGTGTTCCCTCAGGAGCAACTTTACCAGTCATGCTAACATTGCTAACAAGGAACAGAGACCAGTAACCACCAGTTAGCATGATTTTCATGGCAGTTCTCTTTATTTCACTGTTAGCAACATTAGCAATTCTGACTGAATTGCTCTATTAAGCTACACTGGGAGGTGAGACTTTTAAATTATAGAGGAAAGCCAATGATTTAATAGTCGCTTTGACAGAGTCTCCATATTTTAGACCCCAAAACAGTGGTAGATTGTTCTCCTCTTGGTTTTCTGCATTCCTGCAGGGCTTGGCTGTAACCCTATATATTCAGGTCTTCAGAGGCCCTTCAGTATTTAATGAAGTGAGGTAAGGCCACCTCTCTGTAGCTCCAGAAGCAGTATTGCTTAACCATGCCTACAAACAACAGCCAAACACAACCAAATACAACTAGCATCCCATACAGCAAATACAAATGTCTTTATTATCATTAAGAGCCATCCAGTTGGTTCATGTGAATAGTGTTTCTACACAATATCCCATCTTCTGTTTAGGTCTTAGAATAATGGATAATATGCAAGAATGTGCTAGAGATGGTTCTACATGGAACCTTTTTGAAAAGGGTCACATATAGCACCCAAAAGGGTTCTTCTGTTGTTACAAACCTGACATCATAATAATAGTAGAACCATTTTGGCTGCTATATAGAACTCTTTTCAAAAAGGTTCTATACAGAACCATCTAAAGTACATTCTACATCAGTCTGAAAAACCCTTGCAAGATGCAAAGAACCCTTCTTTGAGTTCTTTGAGTTCCATTTTCTTTACCCTTGAAGAACCATCTTTTTTGAGAGTGTGGGCTTTGAGTAGGAGTTGAGTCTTGATTTGTTCAAGGGTCCATTTGTTTGTTCCCTTGCCGTCCAGGGTATGTTCAAAAGTTCAAAGGCATCAATATTTTTCCTGTTCTGCTTTTTTTATTGTCCAGTTTTCACATCCATAAAGAATTACAGAAAAGGCCACAGCCTGGACAGTTCTGATTTTTGTTTGTAGAGCTGCATAAAAAAACTTGAAGATCTTTTCATGTTCCTTCATCCTTGTTCTGTAAAAGAAGGGAACACATCACCCCCATTCTTAAATCCTTACCCTGGCTACGAGGGTATAGATTAAGATATACCGTGGTAAATCTTAATGTGTGTATATATATAAATATATACATGAAGATATATATATGTATGTATATCTTAAATATACATTTAAGATATATATATACATTCCGGATTATACAAGATTTTTATATTTTAATGTAAACTATCTTTGTAGTTTCTCATTTGTAAAGCACTTTGAATAACTGCGGCGTATGAAAAGTGCTATATAAATAAAGTTGTCAGTAGAAGCCAGTAGGCAGGTGTTAATTATTGTCCATGTCAGTGGTCCTCAAACCAGACCTCAGGGCCCCAGACTGTCCACATCTTTGCTCTGTTCTTACATATTGTCAGGTTAGGTTGGACGGTCTGGGGGGCCTCGTGTTTGAGAACCACTTATCTATTGTATAAAACAAGCCAATTGGCAGGTACTGATTATTGCCAATGATTATATGATTATACAGATGCAGTAAATTGAGATTAGGGTGAAAAACACTGAAGTATTTGTTTAAAGCAGTTGAAGTATGTGATTTCGGCACTGGTGAAGGGTTTCCTCAATTAACAGGACAACTATATGGTGCTCTGGCTAACATCAGACATCAGACAGCACCCTCTGCTGGTGATTTTGGTTCTGCCTCTCAGCCCTGTGGTGCCTCTACACTTTGCAGTGTTCTATCATACTTCAGAAAATTGAGAAAATTAAGTACTTTGTTGTTCCAAAAAGTTGCCTTTTTATTTATAGGTTCAAATTCTCTAGTTTCACAGGAGAAGCCATGATAAGTGAGTTTTATGTTACCTTGCTGAGGTCATTTATCTCTGTATGCTTTCAGAGCGACAAAACCACGCACGTGAATTGGTGCGAGAAGCAGACCTGTCTCAGTGGGACGCGCTGGCCATCATGTCGGGAGACGGGCTGCTGTTCGAGGTCAGCTGGGTGTCACTCTCATAGCTCACAGATTGTAGTTTAGCTCATTCCTCAGCCTGCAGAGGCTGCACACCCTGCCGAGGAAAACCTCTACAAACAGCAGCATTCCACAGCTGGCAGGCGGCACTGGAATGTCCAGAACCTGATAGGTCAAGCTGAACTTCATGTCAAAACTTGAGGAAAAGTTTCAGAGCCAAATACAACTCAGTTATTCAAGATGGGAGTTATTTTATGTTCTGTGGGAGTTCCTTTCTCTAGTTTGTGAGTTTGAGCTAGAGCAGGTTTATCATGCAGTATGTTAGCATCTTAGCATTTTAACGTTGCCTGATGGAAACTTTCCCAAAAGCATCAAAGTGTTAAGTAACTCTTAGACTGTTCACAGTAATAATATCTCTGCAGTTTTAGCATTTTTGAGCTGTAATACTTTTAGTAAAATAGAATTTAGTGAACAGATTTTTTTTAAATGAAACAACAGAAGCCGTATCGCCCCCTTCACTTCTTGTAGTGTATTACAGTCTGTTGGAATGACTGTGTGGATCATATAAACATTATAGAGTGCTTGTTTAATGAAACAATAGAAGCCATATCGCCCCCTACACTTCCGGTAGTGTATTACAATCTGTCAGAAAGGCTGCATGGGTCATAAGTGCATTATAAGGCATTATGTAGAGCACTTTTGCTCTTAAGAGTAAAATTATACGTTGACTTTTTTCATTGTTTATTTTATATATAATCTAATATTTCAAGACCGTAAGAAATTAGATGACTGTTAGTCTGTTAGCCTAACATCTTTATCATGACCTCTGCATGTTTTCAGGTAGTGAACGGCCTCATGGAGAGGGAAGACTGGGAGGAGGCCATTAAGACTCCTCTGGGAGTGCTGCCTGGGGGTTCAGGGAACGCAGTAGCTGCCTCCATACACCACTACTGTGGGTAAGACTCATGCTTTATCTGTATGGCGCCTGCAGACGGGGATATGCTAGCTCAATGGAAAAACTATGCAGTTGGGACCACAAGATCAATAAGTCAGTGTGACCCCATGGGTAGGGCATGTAATAGTCCCATGTTGCTCCAGTATTACGAGAACTGTTTTACCCTTTCTATCCCACCAAGGACACCAGACACTCACAGCACACATACTGAACAAATCATGTCAGAATTACTCACCGTTATTTTAATTGGTGCATACAGCTTTACAAGCTGCCTGCTCAGTAGTTCCTGGAAGAAGAAGTCCCAGAGGAGAATGTAGCATCACCCCTAACCCCCACACTGCTCCCCGCGGTGACTGCAGGGGTATGATCCGTGGTACTTCCATAGACAGTCTGGAAAACACAGCATAAGCTCATTCAGCCTTATACTGCTTCCAGTCAAAACACATTTAAGGCTTTTAGAGACATTAATACAGAGTCTGCTATCAATAATGCAAGCTTAGTCCAAATTCATGCTTCTATTAGCCTTCAGGCACCTGCCAGCTATACATGCCTCCTGTTGTTCTGTGTTTTGTTTAGTTTAGTTGACAATATAAGAAAGATTTACATATCAGCTTGTTTGTCAAGGACAACAGAATAAACTTCAAGACTTATTTCCATTGTGGTTCTTGATATATAACAGCAAAGACATTGCTACTTACAATACAGACAAGCAGCATTTTGCACATACCCAAATAGTTAAGAAGATAAAAATCTGTGATACTAGCAACCATGTCTTTAATTTCCTGCTAAAACTAACAGGATTAGTCATACCCCTTGCCCCCGACATTCACACACTCTCGAATATCGAAAAAACCTCTTACATATGATGCAATTTATTATTATTTCAACCTCAGATTCCTTGGCCTTTGCTCATTTTCTGTGAAGAACATATGAAATAACACATTTTCAGTGACTCCACACTGAACACCCCCTACCCATTTATATTACACGTGATGTTGGGGTGAACTCACAGGGAATTAAAGTGTGGAGGTGCTGTCTCCCTTCACTCTGTTCTCCTCCGACATGGCCTGCTGTTAGTGTGTGTGTGTTTGATATGCGTGTGTGTGTGTGAGGGTGGACAACATGGACAGGCTGCTGACTGGCTACAGCTGCTAAAGGAGAACCTTACGTTTGGCACTTGTGATATTTTAAACATCTGGTATTTTTACATAAATTGTTAGGGCTGTATTGATTTAAAAAAACAATAATGTGGTGGGTCCACCAGACCACTGAGTCACAGAAACATCAACACCACACAAGGGTTAAGTCATTTTCTCCTGTTTCTGAAATTTGGTTCCTGAGAAAAAACCCTCAGATTTTCTCACTTTGATCAAAATGTTGTCACTCCAGTCTCAGCTGAACAATATTTCCCTAAGAAAAGTGTAAGATCTCATCGTTTTCTTATAGAGCTCTATTCTGTATTACAGAACTCTCAGCAGTCTGTTAGTGCAGAGGGAGAATTTCCATTTAATTAATTCATTAAGATGTAAATAAAGTCATTCAGGGTGGTTTGGGTTTAGAGAAACTCAGAACCAGACGTCCACCTCTAAAAGCCCCCTTACAAATAGTTATGGGATGAAATGATTATGAATACACTGCTGGATACCTAAGGCAGTTGTCTTACAATAGTTTCAGGGTTTTTTAGCTTAAATGTATTCTTTAAAACAGAGAGGTACCTGCAGGGCGTTTTAAGAAAAAATAGTCCCCTGTATATTTTTTTCAGATTTAACACTATTTTACCATCATCAACATTCCATATAAAAACTCAGAAGACGTGTAGTTTCACTGGTGGATTTGGATAGTAAATAAAATGGCTATGTTTGTGTTGTAGTCATATGGACCCCTGGTTCCCTCACTACCACTGTAAAGAAAGCTGTAGTCAGTGAACCATTTCACAACAAACCACTTTGAATGACTTTGATTACATCTTAACAACTGAATTATGCAGATATTTTGAAAACCTCCCCTTGAAATTGATTAACTTACATTACCACTAGCATAATCAAATGCGACTTAACCAGATTTGATGCCAACATCATCAAACAGTCCCTGTCCAAGAATTGTGCCTGTCAGAAAAGAAACTTTGTCCTGGTGTTTACTTTTCCTAGCACATTCATCACCATGCTTATGCCACTTAAACTAATTCTATTATTTATGATTTTTCCCATTGAAGAAAATGGGGAAATACCTTCTATATGAAAAAACTGAGATAAGACAACAATAGGGAATATTTTCTGTATGGGTAACAGTATGTCTTATTCCACAGTGACATTTGCTCTTTCTCTTTGAGTTTCACATAAAGGAAAGTATGTGAAACCCACAAGAATGTCAATACTAGAAAAACTTTAAAAACATATCACAATGAGTTACTAGGATTCGCCAGGGCATCATTAGCCAGCTCAGAAAAAGCTTGGTGCTGGTGTGCTGAATAGTGAGATATATTAATTATTAACTGTACAAGAAAAAGAACATTAAATAATAAAACTGCCAATTCTTGGTAGGCCAGATGAATCAGTTGATAACATTGTGATGACAGATTGAGTGGAACCCCACAGAGACCCTTATAATTGTTCCTCCAGCAGATTGTTGGTTTGATTGGCATAGATGGGGGAAAGGGTTATATCCCCGCCTCCTCTATATGGAGTCTCTTTGTTCTCAGCCTGTTTGCTGGCTGTGGGTTATTCTTGTGTTGCAGATGGGACTAGAATTAGGCAACATTCATTTTCGGATCTTCTTTATATATCTTAATATACAGTATTGTCGTTCGTATTTCAAAAAAGAGGTTCTCATAAAAAAAGAGTCTAGGGGCCTAATTTTGTTCCTAATAGTTAAAAACTGAGCAGAAGTTTGCAGTTATTTCCTGCAGCGCCCTCTGGTGGCAACCTGTGACCGACAGATGTCTGAACCTGACGGAAAACAATGTAAGCAGCCAGGTTCGTTTGGGTTCAGAGAAATATTTCTATTCATGGATGACTTCTTCTACACTGTGAAACGTGCTATTATGTGGCAAACTTGCCCGTCACTGTGTGAAGTCAAAAATAACACTCATAACACTGTGTGTAGAAAAAATAAGTTAGTAAAGCCTTATTCTCAGAGTCCTCATGTTGTCCCAGTCTGGTTTAGTCCTCAAGTTTGAGTCAATGTATGAAATATAACACAAAAATAGTAAAGTTTATAAAGCTTACTAACTCTTGTACACAGGGATGTTCATATATACCACAAATCATTATTGACCTGGCACTTGCATATGCAACACAAACGGAGCTGCAAAAATTTACTGACATTTTATTTAAATGACAAAAAAATGTAACGAAATCAGACTACCGCTAAACACCCTGTTGTAGATGTACTTAAAAAAGAACTCACATCTTAGCACCACGAGAGGCTCAATGCAGTGATGCAGACTACCACATGATACCATGGGGACCAATCGCAGTGAGGGGGGGGGTATCAGAACAAAGGACACAGTGATCAGAAGTTCAAGTCAGCAAGTGCTGTGTTGTTTTGGCGAGAAAGACATCATTTTACTTCAAAACTAGAAACTCAAGTTTCTAACATATCCTAGAACATGCATTTAAGGGGTTAATTCAAAGCTTCTCTTCTTTCTCAGATTGCAGCCAATGTCAGGCGAGGATCTGCTGGTGAGCTGCGGCTTCATGCTGTGCAAAGGCCTGGTGTCGTGTCTGGACCTGACCTCCGTCTGCACAGCATCCAATCAGCGCCTCTTCTCCTTCCTATCCCTCGCCTGGGGCTTTGTCGCTGATGTGGACATTGAGAGTGAGAAATATCGGTATGTAGGGGCAGCCAGGTTCACTGTGGGTACGCTAGTTCGCCTTGCGTCACTAAGGGTGTACCAGGGAAAGCTTTCTTACCTGCCTGCTGAGGAGTCTGGGTCATATTCGAGCCCAGAACAGTCGACAGAATCCCCTACCGATGTTTCCCAGCAGATTAGCTCATCTTCAGATTATTCAGACAGCTCACCGTGTACGAATCACCCTCTCCACAACTCCTGCAACTCCAACAATGCGCTCAAGCCCAAGCGGACTAACCTGTCACAGGTGTCCGTGTTGGGCCCCCCAGACTCACTCCTTGTACCCTTTAACCAGCCTGTCCCGGCACACTGGACGGTGGTAAGTGAGCAAGACTTCGTGCTGGTGTTAGCTGTGTACCAGTCCCACCTTTCGGAAGACTTGATTGCTGCCCCCGCGTCCAGACTGGAGGACGGCGTGATACACCTGATTTACGTAAAAGCAGGCATCTCACGCGCAGCTCTCTTGCGCCTCTTCCTGGCCATGGAGAAAGGAACTCACTTGAGCACAAACTGTCCATATGTGGTGTATGTTAAAGCGCGGGCGCTACGACTAGAACCCTATTCTCCCAAAGGAACCATCACTGTAGATGGGGAGCTGGTGGAGTACGGCCCAGTGCAAGCACAAATACACGGCAGTCTGGCTCGACTCATAGCCGGATAAAAGGATAACATGGATAACAGCAAATGAAAGCTAGCAGGATAAATGCTGGATTTCATGCTTTGCTAGTTTTGGTTTACTGTTATCCATGAAGATTCAATGTGAAGGAATGGACAGGTCCTTGGCAGACATTCCAAAATTTGTCTTTCTTTCTTTTGCTGGAAACGTAAATAACTACTTCACCTAAAAATGCTAACACTGCGGAAAGCTAGCGTGAAGCACTAAAACAACCTTATTTTGATAACTGGACAGGCTTTTTTGAGTGATTAATTCCTTGAAAAGATTGCAGGCTGGTCCTACACTGGTCAAATGGCTACTATGATTTTCTAAGGGAACAATTTCTACCTTGTGAAAAACATTTTTAAAATACTACAGATTGTAGTGGTGAATTTCTGGAAAAGATTGAAGAAAATTTTATTTTTCTACATACTTGAAGCTCTTACATACTGCTGATTTATACAGAACAATACACAACAAAAACAGCTTGTATTTATAAGAGAAATGGTATATCTTTGGGTGACGTGGGGTTCTGCTGATGATTTATAGACCCAGCATCACAGTAAAGCTGGTTTCTTTTCTTCAGTCTTCTTTCATTTCATCATTAAAGCATATGGACAGGCTACAGGATGGGTGTCCATCCAGAGATCTATCACTGTGCAGAATTTAGGTTTAACCCCAATATGAGACAGCTCACTTTACTGTTTAGATGCTTCTGATGGTACATTGTTGAGAACTTCTGGTTAGAAGTTTCCATTTTCCAATAGCTGAAGCAGATGGACAATGTTCATGAAGAAGAGAACGAAAGGAAGAATGACAACATTTAGACAGTAGACATTTTTCTAGACAGAACGTTTTTCATTTTAATAAAAAGAAAAGTTGCCTTAGCTTTTATTTAAACTGAATTCAGATAATCACACAGCCATTTCTGCATATGGATCACATACCAGTAGTTTCAACACATTTAAGAAATGACTCTGATTTAGTTGCTTTTCCTAATGTGGAAACATTTTATAGCAAGAACATTTATATACAAGAACATTTGTAATGTGGGTTGTGCTTGGACCCCTTCCCCAAGCAGATGAATCTGATAATTGCGAACATGTTGAAAGAGAATTCAAAGAGAACTCAGTCAGAAGTTGGTGAAGCACACGTATTCTGAGGATGTGAGTGAATTATCTACTGTTGTCATCACATCTTCATCAGTATAATGTGGATTTTTCATGGTCTGAGGGCTGAAAAACTCGCCTCTGACTTTTAAATAACTATTTCAGGCTTTAGAGAGCGACTCATACACCATATCTTAGCAATTTTTTGTTCCTCCAGACTCAAAAATGTGGCTTTTTCAGTTTTAAGAAAAAAACATAGTTCAACATAGTACGTCTTTAAAAGAAGTAAGTGTATTACAGTGCTCAAGTCTTGCCATCCTTTACTGGCAAAGTGATTTATATTTGACCATTTTAGTGTCACAGAAGATAAATAACTTTTAGCATGTCAAAATATCTTTCTTCTTAGTGCTGGGCAGTATTGATAAAATTTTATGTCAAATTTTGCAATTATATATCTCAGTATCACAGTACCAGATGATGTGTTTTCATTTATCAGTGTTTTCTGCCTACAATACTCAGCATACAACCATTAGGAATCCCTGTGGTGTCAACCAATCCAGACTGCTAGCCTAGCCACTGAGCTATAGGCTAAGGTGTACAAGCAAGTTAGCCTTAGCATAGCTCTCATTTCTGTGGTCGAACAAAATCGTAAGTGGTAATTTATTCTTTATTCAGTACACAACAGAAACCAGAGGCAAGTTTTTTCCTTTTCAGCCCGAGAAAAGAAGCCAAACTGAGATAAGATGTCTAGATAGCCAGCTAGCTTGCTAACTTTAGTTTTTAGCTTGTTGTCTTCATTCTGGCGTATTCCATTCTCTCTATGTTGTAATATATATTTTAAAACAGCCCCTAAAATTCCACCCCAAAGCACTTGTTGTTTCTCAGAAGTCCCTCCACCTTCAAGAAACATCACCAGAAGGGGTTTTTCTAATCTGTAAACTAGAAAATAGCACCAAATCCACTGCAGCACTGCTTTAGAAAAAAAGCAAGCATATTTACAACAGATGTAGTTATGGTTACATTTTTCTGTTTGGCCTGAGTGTCCCTTAATTAAAGTTAATAAGTTAATAAAGTTTATGAGCCCTGGCTTCCTGAGTGCTGCGCTCTGTGCTGAAAGAACATCTTTTAATAAACTGATATCGGTTATTTGATTAGACTGTTCTCCTAAAATGATACACAGTAAACATTAACCAGACACAAAAAATTTGAAACTTGGTATTTGGTTTATATGGATTTCTTTTAGAACAATCCTAAGCACTTAGCAGGTGACAATACCGGTATAGGGGATATACAACATAGCACTATTGAAGCTTAGAGAAAAGGAAACCAGAGCACAACCCCCCCTCTCACTTTCTAATTATTAGCCTGAGGCTTCATGCCTGACAGTGCTGAGGGAGTCGCTTTCGTCATGTGAATAATCTCCCTCGTATCGGTCAGTTTCGATCGGGTTCCTTCACTGGTCAAGGCTGTGGCATGGAAAAGCTTGTAGGAGGACGTAGCGCGTTACAAATGCACTGTTAATAGTCTGTGTTGACACACATTACAATCCAAAGACATTCCCCACTGATTACCAGCTCGTTCCATTTAGAATCCTTTTGTTTTGACCTTATATTGCCTTTTTTTCCATTGACCGAATCTGCTGCCATCAGAAGCCTGGCTGATGAGGCTGTGTGAGGCGTAGCTAAAAGAGTGATGTGGGATGCCGGCATTGATTTGCAGACTGTGAGCTCTCCCTCTCTCTCTCTCGCTCACTCACTCTTATCCATCACTCAGCACTGCAGTGGTCCACCTCCCCCCAAACACGCACATGCAACCCCACCCTGTCTGAAGACCCAGCTGCTGTACACTGATTGCAACCCCCCACTCACATCGACCCCCAACCTTCAGTCTGATTTAAGTCAGATAGCATGTGATACGGATGAATTAGTTCCTTGAGAATATCAGGATTAATATTCCAAAATATACTACACTAATATAGTGATATCGTACTGTGCTGTAATACTACAGTACTATATTAATATATTGTGTAACACTTTAATATTCATAGTACTATATTGCTATAATACTATGTTACAATACTATATTACACTAATAGTGTTGTGCTATAATATTATACTACTTTACAATACTATAGTGACTGTAATATAGTATACTGTATTAAATACTATACTATAGTACAATACTATAGTAATAAAGCTTTGTAGTACTGTAATATACTATATTACATGCTATAATAATATAGCATGTACTATTGTAATATACACAACAATAATATATTCATATATCATTGTACTAGAGTAAAATACTACATTGCAATTCTATTATAACATATTACAACATTATGGTATATTACAATACTACAGCAATGTACAATACTATATTAGTAATATAGCACTACTAATATAGTATTGTACTCTTGAAATCTGCTGCATTACAATACTGTATTACTTTAGAACTGCAGTATAACATGCTGTAGTAATATATTATTGCTGTCATCTCGAAACCTTGTAACTCCATTTTTTTCACTTTTTATTTATATATTTATGTATTTATTTTAGGTCATTTAAAAACTCCATCTGTCCTTTTCATGATGTCTGGGCCAGCAGAAATGGGCCAGTGTCTCATTACATTAGTGTATGGTAATGTAATTTGTCCAGTTTATCCATAAATGTTCACAATTTTCCCCTTTCACCTAGTTTGCTTCCTTAGTTTTGCACTGGACCTTTGAGCTCTCGTGGCACGAGAGGTAAGACAGCAACCAGAAGGTTGTGAGTTCAAATCCCAGGGCTGGCTCGGTATTCCCCCCGACGCCTGCGATGCTGTGCTGCTTCCAGATTGGGCATAGTTAAGCCACCAAAATGACAAACTTCCTTTGTAGGATCAAAAGAACATGACATAATTTTGAGCATCCCACTCAAACTGCATCCAGCTCTTCATTAAGGTCAGGCAGTCAGTGTGGTTTAGGACACAGTGTGACTGTTCCTTTTAGAGGCCTCAGCAGGTCTGGGAGATTGTAGTGCAGTTTGAAAGATTGCACCTGGGAACATCTGATGGATATGACTGGTGAGGATATGGACATTGAGTTTGGCCTGATGTATTCATGCTTTTCACTGTGGGATCGACAAGAGGTCATGACCTCAGGAATTTCCTTTGGGAAAGGATCCTTAAATCCTTTCAGGATGACATGCATAACTCAGACTTCCACTTTACCTTGAAGGGTGAAGGCCAGCGGTGATGGAGAGCCTCAGAATATTATACAAGCTTGCGCCTTACAAAGCCTAAAATGCAAAAGAGATATTTCATCTCATGCGTTTTCATAAATGGCATAAACTTAGAGGTTAATAAAAAGGAGTCTGCTGTAGTGAAAGAACTCTTTAATGGTCCGTTGATCTCAACTCCAATCACTGAATCATACTGAATGACCAAACAAAAGAAGCCTACTGTTAATGCACCTTTAATAGATGTACTGTATGTATGATAGGAATGTATAAATATTGTTGGCAATTCCATCTAGATATTTTTTATATTGTCTGAGCTTGTTTTTCTTGCCTTTTTCTTTTTAAGAGGTGATCTTAGGTGATGCCAGATTTCCATTTGGTCATTATTCTGTTCGGTTCTATTCATATTTCAGTTTTATTGATATACATTAAGTACATTGACATTCATCTTACTAATCACTTAACTGGAGCCTTAAACACATTATCAAGCGCATCAGCAGCAGCTTGGTGTGCTTTCTATAGCAATATAAATCATCTGCCGTGTCTCTCCTAGTGCATCAGAATGTCTTTTCTGTTTAGGACCTGCTGGATGAGGTTGATTGTCTTTTATAATCATGGAATTGTATAATGTTAAAGGGAAACTTTTCAAAATTACTCTATAGTTCAACAGATGAGATGTAAACAGAGTCATTGCGACTGGTTTGATGTGAAATGATTCATTGTAGAGAAACTTGCTGAATCAGAAAAAATAAGTTTTCATTGGAGCCTCGCAGCACTGTGCATGTGTCTCTCAGATGGATGTAAAATCTACACGTCTTAACCCAAAACCTTCTTAAAACTAATGTAAAACAGTCAGTGTGCAAAATACCCCCTGGTATTTAGGGGGTCCCATGTTGGCTGGCTACTCCAGCGTTGGCAGT